TATTTACCAAATAAATGGAGTGAAGTAGTATACAAAACATAAATAACACAATTTTCTTTTATATAAGATTTGTATTGTACAAAGTATGCAAATAAACAGATGACTTATTAAATCTTTAAGAATAAATTTATATTGCCTTTATATTGTACTTATAAAATTGTCATTAAGGAGGATCTAAAAACATAGTTAAAATAATTATTTACAAACATAAAATAAAGATTTAGCTTCTACTTCACTCCTCTGTTTATATATTTATAGATTTAGATATATTACCTATAACAGAAAGCATGTACATATTATAGGTATGTATAAAATAACAAAAATGTTAAATTTTATAAATTAAAGAAAAATTAAAATAATAAAAAGAGAAGAATTAAATTTAAAAAATATAAAACTTAAAATGATAAGTGAAAAAATAATTTGGAAGATCATAATTTGGAAAAAGATAAATATCATTTGTTAATAGTTTAACATTTATTAATTTGATATAAAATTATTTGTAATACTCGTATCAGGCTAATAGCCATGTATTTATCCTTAAATTTAGTTTCATAATATTCACATTTTATATTTAACGTAAAAAATATTTTCTTTTATATATTTAAGTCGTTTACTAAGAGTACATTTTTAGAACCCCCTTAATGTTTATAAATTATTCAGTTTGTGTACAACTAAAAATAATATAATAAAACAATAAGATTTTTCCGCTGCAAAGTAAGATAACTAATTGTAACATTTTTTTTTACAAAAAGTAATCAAAAAACGTAAATAAAAGGTACAACTTATTTCAAAAACAATAAATTGGTAACAGTTAATATAAATTGAAATATTTTATCTACTAACCACTATTTGCAAACGAATTTTTATATTATTTTAAAATTACGTATGAACTTTTTTTATGATAAAAATTTTTCATACATGATTATTTTTATAACTTGAATATAAAATTTAATTATGTTGTACCACATTTATGACAATAGCATCAAAGAAATAAAAAAAGAAAAAAGAGAGAAAGAAATACATCGATAACAATTGATAGAAAATTTAAATATCTGATTAAGAAAGTTATCATAATTGTATAATTTGTACTGAGTACAGATAACACACTATACCTTTAATATTATATTTGATTATGCATTATGCAGAATCATAGATATATTATACATTCTACAACATTAGCTATAAACTTCTTGATATTTCTTTGCAGCGGAAAACTCGTACCTTAAATATTAAAGATACACGTACAATTACAATAATATATACCATTATTTATACAGCCTAACCTCTAAATAGAGCCTTATAGACCACATGATTTCTTCTTAAACTGCTACTTCAATAGAAAGTTATCGAAATCCATATATATCACGAAATTAAAACTATAATTTGTTTTGACTCGATGCATTGTGTATATCATAAATTCTACACTTTGTAAAAACCGAAAATTATATACTTCATCCCCTTAATAAATGTGTGCGATATTTTCATAAATCTTAATTTTATATTATTATTTTAAACAGTTACTCTCTTTCTATAATTCAGACAATTCTGTTCACATAGATACACATTACAGTATACCAAATAATTTACGGACCATGCATTCAAAGTACTGGAATAGTCTAAAAATGACTTTCATGATTTTTAAATAATCTGCACAAGGACACCAGCCGCTCATGAAATTTTGCTTTATGGTCCCCTGGTTTTATCACTAAAAGATTCAAGGAAAATAGCATTTATGGTTACTGTAGAGTGTATCAATACACTATTCAAGGGGAATTGTTAACATGTTAACTGCCATGTAAGTTTTGTTTCACTTTAAAAACTATAATAGAAATTTCATTATTATATGATTAAATAAAACCAAATTCTTTTTAATAGTGCGTTTATTTTCTTACTGATCATCTGTGACTACCATATAAGTCCATGTTTTTTACTATTTTCGATATTTCATCATTATCGATATATAAATAAATCAAATTAACTGAATTTAGAATGACATTTGCAATGTATCTAATACATGACAAATATATACGATTTATCTTCATTAAGTATAATTATTCAACAAAAATAAGGCCATAAAATTTAAGAAGAGAATCGGCGAATATATTTAATGTGAAAATTTTATTTATAATAAAGACTGCGATTATTGATTTCAATTACTTATTTTTGATTTAAATTTTTTAAATACACTGTATCATAACATAATAAAAATTATTAATTATTGAATAACACATTTTTTATATTGTAATGTTACTTAATTATTTACATTACCAAATATTTTTTTTCAATAACATTTATCTTATTTTAATTGTTTTAGAAAATATAATGCCAGTCATTGATGACCACCATGGTCTCATTGTGAGAACATGTGGATGATTACCGTGGCAGTCAACATGTTAAAGACTACGAAACACATAGTACATAAATATTAAATTACTTTTCATCCAATTCGCAAATATTGGAGTAAATTGTGCAGATACTATGGAGTCAAATTTACAAAACTTCTAATTCTCTCATATCAGGTATTTTTCTTTCCTTTTTTTAGTATATATATTTCATACACTTTTAATTCATTTTCTTCTATTGTGTAGCAGTATCTGAAATGCTTTGCCGCCATGTAGCATGGAAAGGAATCTTCAAGATTTTAACCCTTGTTTTAGGCAATGCAGTCAATAAAAGTTTTTGAAGTTGGGGTAATGGTAATATATCCACTTGAGGATTTGTTAAATTTGGTTGTTGTTTGTCATCACCTTAAAAATGATAAAAAGGGTATAAAATTAATTGTAATTAATATAAAATATATTTAAATTTTTTTTTTATATAATATATATAAAAGTATGTTAATTTCTAAAATACCTTTTTGATTGTCATTTTCATCTTCAATATCTTCAATTAATTTTAGACAAGGTACCGGTTTTAAAACTGGTATTGAGTCACCAGTAACTTGTTTACTCATTAGATTACATTGATCAACAAATAATTCAGTAACTCTTAATAATTCAAGCGTGACGCCCCATACGAAATGCGTCAAATTATTTGATAATTCAGTAACACCTCCAAGCACCATATTATTAGATGTTGCTGATTGAGATATGTATGTTGGTATAATTAATAACCTTTTAATATTTTTACAGTTTGCAAGACATTTATCAAAACCATTCTTAACATCAAAATTAACTAATTCCATTTGACTCAAGTTTTGCAATTTAGATACACCATCCAAAATATCAAATGTACAACATGAGCCTTGACCTTTTTCAAGTCTAAGGCGTTCTAATTTTTGTAACTTTATTAAAACTGTGGTACCAAATTTATCTGGAAAATCTGAACATTCACCCAATTCTAATGTTTCCAAATTCACTAAAGCTTGTAATATATCAATTCTTTTTTTCCCAAGTTCTTTAACTGATGTTAAACTCTAAAAAACAAATTTAAATATTAAAAAAACCATTCGGGGATTAAAATTAAAAATGAATTTAAATAAAAATTATATTTACTAATTGTGTTAGTTGTGTTAATTCTTGTAATGGTGTAAGATCTTCTTGTAGAGACATCCCACTAATTGCTTTAAGCCTTAATTCTTGACAACGTTTAAGATTTCCAACTGATTCTAAATTTAAGGAGTCACATTTTATTGACATTGCACTCAAAACTTCTAATTGAGGGCAACTACTAATAACTTCTTCAACAACCATCACAGGACATTTACATAATTCTAATTTGACAAGGCTAGTTACGCGTGGTATTACTATTAAAAACTTTTTCCAAATGCTATCAGATTCGCCTGCTACAAGCATTTTTCGGAGATCTAAATGTTGAGTACCACGCCTCTGCAATGTGTCTGCTAAACCATCCCAGTCTGTTACTTGACTATTTTTCATTCGTACAGTCTTCCACAAAGAAGGATGTGCAGCTAAATCTCGCCACATTTTACATACTCTTGCAGCTCGAAGTAATTCTTGAACCTTAAGGTATTGAAAAATACGCAACAATGCATGATAACCAGCACAAACTGAATCCATAAAATGTTGCTGAGGTTCTATATCTTGTCGATTTTGTTTCCTTCTGAAAGTGTTAAAATTAAAATTTTTAGATGATTTCTTTTAAAAATATTTATAGCCTGCATAATAAGGGTATCATTTTTTTTTATGTATGATGTTGGTTATAATTAAAAAAAGTGAATAATTTTTAATACTGAAATTTTTATTTGATATTGATGAAAGAATATTATAATTTTTAAAGAGGCTTTTGAAGGACCAATGAAATTTATAATGATGCCAACAATTTCATGTTATATCAAATAAAAAATATAAGTAAAAGCCTCTGAAAAAAATTTCAAAGATCGAAATTATTATTTCATAATAGAATGAAGGTATAATAACAAAAAAACAAACATAAATAGGAAATGGAAATAATGAGGAACAAGGAATTTCGGATATTTTTGGGAAAACGCACTAAGAGTTTTTTGTGTTTCAGCTCGCACATGTCTTTATATCTGTAAATATAAAAAGTAAAAATGAATTAGATTTTTTCCACTGAAGCACTTATCAGTAGCTGTATTTGCAATTGTAGTATGAATGT